TTCTCCATAAGCAGACACGGGACCTTTGCTATTTGTGAAAGACCAGCTTTAAAGTAAATGGAGAACAAATGCTGTCGTACTCATAACAGCTACCAGAAAATGTCCAAGGATACTGGACACGTGCTGACCAGAAAGCTTAATCCACTACCTAGAAACTGATTTCCCTTATGAAGGGCCCCAATGGCAAAGCAGTAAGGACTAGTTACTCCCACTTAATTAAACAGGTGATTTCACAGACTAAGAACTCCTGTTTTAGAAGAAAATCAAAACTGTAAAGCCACATTGTCATTCTGCGTAAGAGTTGTCCTCAGAATATATTTAATCAGGAGCAACCTGTTCGACAGGAGTTGGGTAATTCCCCTTGTTTATTACACCTAAAACTGAACCATCCCTGGAAGGAGTACGTAAATGTTATGTTCTATACAAAAATCTACCTGAAATGACCAGTTACTTGAAACAATTACCTGAAACATTTAGGCAAGAAGGAAAGGAAATTCTTTCCCTCAAAATAAACTGAAAATTTCCACCACTTTTCAGCTTTTCAAATCTATGTTATGGGTCCTTAAAAGGTGTATTCAGATTGTTAGATTCCAGGTCTGTGAGAAACTCTTCAGAACATTTAAACCCCATAGAGGCCAAGCAGTTGAAATACACGTAAGTAGTTATATAGCACAGGTCTATACATGTCAACAATGTACAGCTTGGGTTTCTTATTGCCACATAGAATGGGAAACTTTCTACCACAATCATCTAGTTTTTCAAGAGAATCCAAAATTTTTAATAAACTCGGGTTTTAAATAGCGACAATATGTGTATGTGTCTGTGTGTTGTTTTGTTGTTGCTGCTGCTGTTGTTGGGTTTTTTTTGTTTTGGTTTCAGTTTTGGGGTCTGGGTCTCCCTATAGCCCCAGCTAGCCTGAAACTATGTAGACCAGGCTGGCCTTGATCTCACAGAAATCTGCCTGCCTCTGCCTCTGAGTATTGAGAGTAAAGGTGTATGCTAGCACATCTGGCTATTGTTTTAAATGCTAGGGAATTAACCCAGGGCCTTGAGCATCCCAAGTACATACATGCTCCTCCACTGAGCTACATTCCCAGCCAACAAAAACTTTTTTAAAACAATGAACAAATCCATTTGACCAGTAGCCTGTGAGCAGTTCCCAGCTTCTGATACTGAAGGTTTTTTTTCAAAATATTTTAATTATTATTTTAATTTTGTGTGTATGAGTATATTGCCTGCTTGTGTGTAAGTACACCCACGTCGTACAATGCCTGAGGAGGTCAGAACATGGTGTCGGATCCCCCGGAACTGGAGTTACCGACAGTTGTTAGCCACGGGGCTTTGAACCCCCCGTCCTCTGCAAGAGCAGACAGTGCTCTTCACTGCCAACCCATCTCTCCAGCCCCCTGATACTGAAGTTTTAATACTAAGATGCCATCTCCAAAGAAGTAACTTTCCAATATCATAAGATAATTAAACTTAAATTCAATATTTTCATATATGGGGAATTTTAACCAAAATGGTTAGGTAAAATGTATTTGACCATATTTACTAAGCCCACAAAAGTAAGCACACTTAGGCTTTATTAAATATTTTATATTGACCCAAATATCATCATGTTCAGAGTAGTAAATTTTTTTTCAACTTCTTAATTTAACTTGTATAATTGGTGGTGGAGGGGGTAAAGAGCTGGGGAATATTTCAACAGAGTACACTTGTAAGTAAAACTGAAAGCTTTATTTTGACTCTTTTATGATTATCATTATTATTATTATTTTTCTCCTAACCCGAAACATATTTCTGACTGACTTTTGGGTTTTGTTGTTGTTGTTTGTTGTTTTTATGGGGGGGGGTGTTTTGTTTTGGGTTGTTGTTTTTTGGTTTTTGGTTTTTTTTTTTTTTTTTGAGACAAGGCCTCACTACGTAGCCCTAGCTGGCCTGGAACTCACTATGTAGACCAGGCTGGCTTTGCACTCACAGAGATCCGCCTGCCTCTGCCTCCTGAGTGCTGGGATTAAAGGTGTGTGCCACCACGCACAACTTTCTTTTTTAAACAATTTTTTATTATTTATTATTTTATGTGTGTGTGTATTGCCTGCATGTAAGTAAGTGCACCCGTGTTGTGCAATGCCCACGGAGGAGGACAGAAGAGGCTGTCGGATCCCCTGGAACTGGAGTTACAGACAGTTGTTAGCTGCCATTTGGGTGCTGGGATTCAAACTTGGGTCTTCTGCAAGAACAGCCAGTGTTCTTAACCGCTGAGCCATCACTCCAGTCCCACATCTGACATTTTTACCATCTTTAATACAAAGTTATATAAAGCAAAGTAATGATCTCTTTGAACTTGTTTATCGTGAGAAGAGGCCTCTTAAAGTCAAATGATGGTGCCAGGCTTGGTAGCTCATGCCCTGATCACAGTACCTAAGAGGATGAGGCAGGAGGATCAGTCATAAACATAAGTTCAAGGTCAGCCTGGGCTACATAGAGTTTCAGACCAAAGTGAGAGACCCTGCCTCAAACAATAAAAAATAAAAATAAAAAAGTAAAATATATGTTGTTAAGTATAGTTTTCACAAAAAAAATTTACCACAGTTAGTGGTACCCCATCTACCTGGTCTCACCCTAGCTAGAAACCTGGTAACTAGATCACTTTTCCATTTAATTCTTACTGTGTTCAATCAGTCATTAAATTCAATGAACAGATCCACAAGATCTATCCAAATTGTCCTTCCAGTCATTTCAACCACCACCAGATGTTAGACCAGAGGCTTAAAAGTGTGGTTAGTGGGACAAATACAGTTCATTGAATACTTCGTCTGACCCATATGGTATGATTTTTAATCTGACTATTTCCCAGCATTAAAAGGTGGGACAGCACTCAGGAGGCTGAAGTGGAAATATCACAAGTTAAAGGTTAGTCTGGACTACATGAGATCCTGTCTCAAACAAACTATAAACAAACAAATTAAATTGAAATTAAGTTGTAACAATTGTACCATATTTTATCTAAGTACCATTGACAAATCCTTTCCCAAATGTCATAGTAAAAAGTCTAAATTTTGGAATGCTCAGGCCAAAAAAAAGTTGGGACAAAGTGGCCAGGTGTGGTGGTACCCACCTTTGATCCCAGCACTCAGGAAGTAGAGGCAGAAGGATCTCTGTGAAATCAAGGTCAGCCTGGTCTATATAGCGAGTTCCAGACCCGCCAGAGCTACATTAGTAAGACCCTGTCAAAAAAAAGCAGAGGGGTGGGGAACGGACAAAGATAAATTCCCTATTATAGCATGCAAAGCTCTTCTTGATTTGATCCCTATATTTCATTAAGATAAATTGCTTATAGTTCTCCAAAAACATCATGTTCTCTCCCATTTTTGTACCACTAAAAGGGTTTCCTTTACAGAATACCCATCCTTCCTTTCTTTGGCTAACTCTATTTTTCCTTCAGGATTAGGTCAAATATGATCTCTTCTGGGGTACTTTCCTAACCTCCTCCTCTTCACACTTTCTCTGTACCACACTGCCTACTAGGGAGCTCCTTCAGGATGCATCAGTAGCATCCTACACTATTATATGACTACATTAGTTATGTTTATCTTTATCTACATCCTCCAACTAGAGTGAATTCCATGAAAGCAACCACACTTAAACTTCAGCCTACAATGTAAATAAGAACACAGAAGGGCTTCCTCAATTAACTCTGAAGTAGCAGTAGATGAATTTGCAAAAGGTCTCATGTGCCAAATACTACAGCTGGGTCCTGGTGTGACCCGTTTAGCTTTTGTTGTTGTTGTTTTGTTATGAAACAAGAGTTTCACTGTGTAGCCCAAGCTGGTCTCAAACTGACAGTCTTCCTGCCTCTGCTTCCCAAAAGCTGGGATTGCAGGGGTACACCATCACATCTAGCTGATAATAAGATTAACAATAAATGAGAATGTGAACAGGATTTGAAATTTTAGCTACAGCTTAGCTAAGTTTTACTGTTCTAGTTGCTTGATAGTCTCTCATTACTTCACTTTAAGATCACAACTGTCATTTGGATACTAATAATTGCTCAAGACTCTAATCCATCTATTTCTAATTAATTCATTTAATATAATTTTCCCTAATTTGAGGAGAAAAAAAAAAAGAGCAGTATTCAAAGTCTTTTTTCAGGGGACTTCAGAGATGGCTCAGTGGTTAAGAGCAGTGGCTTCTCTTGCAGAGCCAAGGTTTGGTTCCCAGCACCCACATGGCAGCTAACAACCATCTGAAACACCAGTTCCAGGGGCCCTAACACCCTCTTTTGGCCTTTGTAGGCACTGTACACACATGGTGAACTTCTATACATGCAGGCAAAACACTCAGACACATAAAATAAAAATAAATAATAAAAACTTCTTAAGTCTTTTTTTTCAAAATTTAACAACATCAATGTGACAAAACTTTTAAGGAGAATTCTTATATGTAAGAGTTCATAAAAAGTGAAGAAGCAGGTCTGGAGAGATGGCTCAGCAGTTAAAAGCACTGACTGCTCTTGCAGAGGACCAGGGTTTGATTCCCAGCACCCACATGGAGGCTAACAACCATCAGTAACTGCAGTTCCAAGGGATCCAATTCTGTCTTCTGACCTCCATGGACACTGCACATCACAGGGACACTTACATACAGGCAGGCAGTACAGTCATACACATAAAAAATAAAAATAATAAATAAAATATTTTTAAATGAAGAAGCATTGTGAGGTTTACATAGGGAAGAGTCACTCAAACCTATTTCAAAGTCACACCTATATTCAGTAAAATAGGCAACATTATTGTACAAAAATTTTAAAAGCCTATAGGGCTGATGATGGCTCAGCCAATTAAGTTGCCTGCTGCCAAGCCTGATGATCTGATGATGGATGGAGAGACCCAACTCTCAAAGTTGCTCTCTGACTTCCACTCACACACATTGGCACACAAACATGTGCACGCACGCACACACAATAATAAACATAAACAAAATTTTAAAGTCCAACTTACCCTTTCTATAAAAATTTCAATTGCTGAAAATGCAGAACTCAAGAAATCACAGATGTCAATTTGAAATAAGAATTTCAGAATCTGAAAGTCTGTGGCATGTTCTGTTGATTTAGAAACATAAATACATTATTATTTGATATATGACTTCTGAATCTAACTTCTTCAGCTACTGAATTGGAGAACAAATAACCATTTCTTACCGTTTTGAGAAACCATCTGAGTGTTGAGCAGGCTGTCTTCCACAGATCTGTCTGCTTCCACCAGAGCAGGCCTTTCAGAGTCTTCTAAGGATTTTGAACGTTCTCGCCTTTCAGGAGATGAGGTTTTTAAATGCAGTTCTTCATGAGCTCGCAGAGGTAACTCTATTTCAGAGACAACATCTGTAAATAAATGAAGAGAGATGTCTTCTTTACAGTGCTTGCTTTGTTGCCAGCTTCCCTTCCATTTTCTGGAAAGTCCACCCTTTGAAACTTCGTTATGGTCATTGTGACACTTCATCTGAGAAAGAATGCACAAAAACATTAAGTCTAGCCTGTACTAGCTCCTTTTGCTAGTGAAATAAATGACCACAAGCTTGGGGCTTAAGTAATAAAAATTTATTCTGTTAGAATTCTGGAGGTCCACGGCTGGAGAGATGGCTCAGCGGTTAAGAGCACTGGCTCTTCTTGCAGAAGACCCAGGTTTGAATCCCTGCACCCATACGGCAGCTAACAACTGTCTGTAACTCCAGTTCCAGGGGATTCGACAGCCTCTTCTGTCCTCCGCGGGCATTGCACAACATGGGTGCACTTACCTACATGCAGGCATTACACACATACACATAAAATAAAAATAATAATTTTTAAAAAATGAATTCTGGAGGTCCAAAATCCCAAAACCAGGATATTTGCAGAGCTGCATTCCTTCTGGAAGCTTGGAGAGGAATTCATACCCTTGCTTTTTCTATTTTCAAGAAGCCTCCTGCATTCCTTGGCTCATGGCACTATCCTCCATTTCAAACTCAGCAGTGGAGCATCTTCTATTCTCTTCCTTGCTTAGACCGTCCTGTTTTCTTCTCATAAAGAACCTTGGGATTATATTGTGCCTAAGTAATTATCTCTTCATCTCAAACCCCTTGAGTGCACATGCAAAGTCCTTTTTGCATGTGAAATAACATGCTCACGGGGTCTGGAGCTTAAGACATGGGCTTTGAGGGACCCTTATTCAGATCACCACACAGTCCCTCTTTATTTCCCAGCTAAGGAAGAATATAAAGAAACAATGACAACAACAGAACACCCAAGCATAATGGCACATGTCCATGATCCCAACATTAGGAGGCAGAGGCAGGAGAGAAATGACCAATACGTCAAGACCAGCCTGGGTTACTTAGCAAGACCCAGACTTTAAGAAAAAAGGAAAATAAATTACGCTGGCAATATGGCTCAGTTAAGCGCACTCGTTGCTCTTCCAGAGGACCTAAGTTTAGTTCCCAGTACCCTATGTGACTCACAACTGCCTGTAATTCCAGTTCCAGAAGATTTGATGCCCTCTTCAGACCTCCACTGGCACCTGTACTGGAGGGGAGAGAGAGAGAGAGAGAGAGAGAGAGAGAGAGAGAGAGAGAAAGAGAGAGCGAGGGCGAGAGAGAGAAATAAAATTTTAAAAAGAAAGAAAGAAAAAAGAAGGCCAGGTGTGGTGGTGCATGCCTTTAATCCCAGCACTTGGGAGGCAGAGGCAGGCCAATCTCTGTGAGTTCAAGGCCAGCCTGGTCTACATTAGGGAATTCCAGGCCAGCTGGGGCTATATGGAGATGCTGTTTCAAAAAGACCAAAATAAAATAAAATAAAATAAAATAAAATAATAAAATAAAATAAAATAAAATAAAATAAAATAAAATAAAATAAAGAAGAAGAAAAACCTCGGACTGGTTCAGTCCCGAGAACCCTCATAGTGGCTTACAACTGTCTATACCCAGTTACAGGAGATCCAGTGCCCTCTTCCAGTCTCCTCAGGCACCAAGCACACATACAGTACACTTATGTATGTTCAGGCAAAACACTCATACATACACATAAAATGAAATAAGAAATAAATCTTTTTTAAAAATAAAATGAATTTTTTTAAAAAATTTAAGTAAAAGAAAAACTGGAAACTATCATAACTGTCAACCTTGTTGTACTGTGTGAGCTTATGACTAAGAGTCAGATAATAAACAGGTCCCACTACACTAAGATTTCATTCTTTGGGCTGGCAAGATGGCTTGGTGGTCAGATGCCTGGCAACCTGAGTTCCAACCCAGGGCCCACACAGTGTGGAAGAAGAGAACCAACTCCAAAAATTTGTCCTCTGACCTCCACATACATGCTATGGCAAGCACATGCAAATACACACACGCACGTGTGCGCACACACACACACACACACACACACACACAGAGGTAAAAATAAAAATAAATCTTTGAAAAATAAAAATATTTTTAAAGTGATTTCATTTCTTTTAGAAATCTCTTATTCAAGAAAGGGTAATAGCTGGACATCATTCCATGAAACAGATTTTACTTACTTTACCTATTAGAGAACTAGGGGACCAGAATGAGAAAATTATTCATAGTAATCCTATTTAATAAAACAGAACAAATAGTTATACCAACACGTAAACAGGATAAATGGTCATACCAAGAAAAAGAATATTGGAACTTAAAGTAGTTGAATTCCAAGTTCTAAAATATAGTCTCCTAGGTTAGCATATTTACTAATATGCTCTATTAAACATAAGAACCATTATCATTCTAACTTTTTGGTGGATATTACATATGTGTAGGGGTACACACATGCCACAGCATGCATGTGGAGGTCAGAGGACAATTTTGGGGAGTCATTTCTCTCCTTGTACCATGTGGGCCCCAGAAATCCAACATTTGTACAGACTGGTGCCCATATCCCCAGGATATTTGAAAGAACTTTGAAAATGAAAACGTGCCAATCATGCTAACCTTGAATTCTGGATCCTCCTCCCTCAGCTTTTTGAGGGTTGGGACTATAGGCAGGTGCCATCATGCCTAACTCACAAGTAAAAACTTTAAATGAACCACAGTATACCAAAACTCAACTTTACAATGAAAAAAAAATCTATGCACATCTCTTGACAACCTATTTTTAGAAGATCATCTGGGCTGGGGAAATGGCTGATTGCGTAAGGTCATTTCCAACAAGTCTAATGGCCTGAGTTCAATCCCTGTAACCCACATGGTAGAAGGAAATAACCAACTTCTGCAAATTGTCCGTTGACTTCCACTTAAGTACCTAGGCATGTAGAGGCACACACACAAAATAAATTAAAATATAATGTAATAAAATAAATAAAACTCAATAGAATTTTAAAGTATTATATTTCCCACAGAATTAATTTTTTAATTTCCAATTTAAAACGCACACAGGTCAAGAATTGCCACATTTAGAGTGTTGCATCATATAATTATGTCAATGTCAAGTCAACAGCCATTAACTTATTTCAAGAAGATCAGTGATGAGTCAAGTGAGATAGCTCCTTAGGTAAAGGTACTAGCCACACAAGCCTGACAACCCAAGTTCAATCCCTGAAACCCACAGTGGAAGAAGAAAACCAGCTCCCAAAATTTGTCCTCTGACATTGACAGGTGCATCTTGTAGCACACTTGTGCCAGCACTCACACACACATCAGGGACACACACACACACACACACACACACACACACACACACACAATGAAAATAAATAAAATTTTTCAAAGAAGTGGCTGGAGAGATGGCCCAGACGTTAAGAGCATGTACTCCTCTTGCATAACTTTGGATCTCAACACACACAGAGAGGCGCACAACCATTTATAATTCAAGGGGATCCAACACCCTCTTCTAGTCTCTGTGAGCACGAGGCATGTACATGGCACACGAAAATACATTTTAAAAAATTATCATTTTTATTTTATGTGTATGAGTATACTGCCTGCACATGTGTAAGTGCACCCATGTTGTGCAATTCCTGAGCAGTTATAAGATAGCATCAGATTCCCCTGGAACTGGAGTTACAGACAGTTTTTAGCTGCCATGTGGGTGCTGGGAATTGAACTGGGGTCCTCTGCAAGAGCAGCCAGTGCTCTTAACCATTGGGCCATCTCTCCAACTCCAAAATTAAAAAAAAAAAAATTAAAGACAAAAATCAGGCCAGTGAGATGGTTCAGCTGGCAAAAGCATCTGCCAAAAACCTGCTCCCTGAGTTCAATCCCTGGGGCCTACATGGTAGAAGAGAACCTACTCCCTCAAGTAGTCCTTTGATCTGCACAGCTCACCATGGTAAACACACACACACACACACAAACTAAATAATAAATAAATAAATAAATAAATAAATAGATATAGATAGATAGATGATAGATAGGAAAACAATAAATAGTTTTAAGACAAAAGTCCAAGGTGAATAAACACATATCAGTAAGTTAAGAATACTACCTGCAAACATTAATAGTAAAAAAAAAATAGTGATCAAGTCTGGTTGTTTGTCTGCTTTTGTTTTATGTGGTGCTGAAGATCCAGCTCCAGAGTTTTTATACATTTGTTTGCCTGTAACAAGGTCTTCTACATTACCAGGCTGGTCCTGAACTCCTGGACTCAAGGGACCTTCCTGCCTCAGCCTTTGGAAAGCGAGGACTTCAGGCAGAAGCTACCATTCATGTTCACTGAGAATGCTGTGAATACAGGAATCAAATAATGATCTACAGTAGTGTTTAATAACATTCGGAAGAGCATATTCAATAATTATGCTCAAATTTATAGGTGATGTGGTTTTTTTTTCTTCAAAATACTAGTTTAGGGTTTTTTAAAATTTATTTATTTATTGCTTTTATATACCTGTGTGTGTGCTTGTGTGGATTTACATGTATTATATGAGTGTAGGAACCTTCAGGGGCCAGAAAAAGGCATCAGATCTCCTGGAACTGGAGTTACAGGCAGTTGTGAAGCATCATGTGGGTGATGTGAATGGAACCTGGGTCCTCTATATGAACAGAAAGGGCTCTTTACAACGAGGTCATCTCTCCAGCTCCCAAAATACTATTTTAAACTGTATTTGAAATGAATACATATCAAGAAAAATGGTGAATCTATATAGTGTTTTCATAGTTCATTATAGTTTTGGGATATTATTTTCACTTAAACCTACGCTTTAAAATCTGCATCATATATATACATATATATATATGAGCATGAGTTTCTTATGATTAGTAACAGAATTTTAAGTCAAATAGAGCAATGCTTTTTAATATTTAACTATATTTTGCAAACTCATTTAAATAAGCCCAGTTGGAGTCCTTTTGTAAAACAGTTAACACTATAATAAATAATTGTTCCCTAATTTATCTGTATTACAAATTCCTCCAGCCATGTATTAGTTTTTTCTAATCTCAAGTCTCATATTTTCACAATGATTTGGAACCAGTAATTCATTTTCCTATGCACTCATTCTAACTAATACAAGCAGTTTTCGTTTATTATTTCTAAAAGAGTTATTGAAATTATCAGGAAAAATTGACTGTTTTAGCTATTTCATTAACATTCAGAAAATAGGACCGGTGGTTTTATCTAACTTCCTCTTTTGAGTTTTTTTTCAAACAAAGTAAATTTTTAGGCCAGGCGTAATGACACAGCTCTGTAATCCCTACTGCTTGGGAGGCTAAAGCAGGAGAATCACAAGTTCAAGGCCATCCTAGGCTACAGAGTTAAGTTCAAGTAAGTTCAGCCTGTTCAACTTAGTGAGACCCTATCTCAAAATGAAAGGTAAAATGACCAGGCATGGTGGTACACACTTACAATCCCAGCACTTGGGTTGTAAAGGTAAAAGGATCAGGAGTTCAATAACAGGTTCAGGTACATAGAAAACTGAAGGTCAATCTGACCTACATGTGATCCTTCATTTTAAAAACCTCTAAATAATAATAGCTGGGTGTGGTAGCACACACCTTTAATTCAGGCACTCTGGAGACTGAGGCAGGTGGTCTCTGTGAGATCAAGGCCAGCCTGGTCTACATAAGTGAGTTCCAGGCCAGCTGGGCTACAGGGAGACCCTGTCTCAAAAAGACCAGAAAAAAAAGGGGGGCTATGAATATGAACAGAGAGGTTTCAAAAGAAGAAATAGCAATGCTAAGAAAAACCTTAAAAAGTATTCAACATCCTGGGGCTGGAGAGATGGCTCAGTGGTTAAGAAAACTTGCTATTCTTCCAGGAGACCCGGGATTGAATTCCAGCACCCACATGGCAGCTAACAACTGTCTGTAACTCCAATTTCAGAGGAACTGAAGCCCTCTTCTGGCCCCCCCTGGTCTTTGCACAACACGGGTGTACTTACATACATGCAGGCAATATACTCATACACATAAAACAAAAATAATAAAATAAATTTTTTAAAAAGTATTCAACATTCTTAGTAATCATGGAAATGAAAATTAAAACTACTTTAAGATTTCATCTTACCCCAATTAGAATAGCTAAGATCAAGAGAACAAATAATACCAAATAACTGCTGGTGGGATGGCAAACTGGTGCAATCACTATGGAAAGTAGAGTGGAGAACTCTTTAAAAATTAAAAATGAATCTACCGTATGATCTGGTATTAGCACTCTTTGACATACACCCAAAGAACTTAGTATCCTATTGCAGAGATACTCGCTCAGTCATGTTTGTTGCTGCTCTTTTCACAATAGTTAGGAAATGGAAACAACTTAAATGTCTCTCAACTGATGAAGAGATAATGAAATGTGGTCCATTTACACAATGGATGTCTACTTAGTAATAAAGAAAAATGAAACCATGAAATTTGTGGAAAACGGATGGAACCAGAAACTATTATACTAGACTAACATAAACTCTGAAAAATAAGCGGCATATGTTTGCTCTCCTTTGTGTATCTGAGCTCCAAATTCCTAGATGTGAGTAAACATCCTGATGTAACCATAGGAGCCAGGAAAATGAAAAGGAACCATGGGAGTAAAGGGGAAAGGATCTGGAGAGAGGGGAACAGTAAGAAACAGGTGTTGTCGTTTTAATGGACATAAAACTTAAAACCATGTTTTTACATATTGTGAATACATGCTTTTAAAAGAGCCTTTTCACTGGGCGTGGTAGTGCACGCGTTTAATCCCAGCACTCGGGAGGCAGAGGCAGGTGGATCTCTGTGAGTTCAAGGCCAGCCTGGTCTACATAGTGAGTTCCAGGACAGCTGGGGCTACAGGGAGACCGGGTCTCAAAAAGACCCTAAAAATTAATAAATATAGTTGTTGATTAGTGAGTATTCTGAAGAACATATTTTTTTACTTTTTTCTTTTTTGCATGGTGTGCATGCGTGTGCATCTAGAAGCCTCAGTGGATGCCAGGCATCATCCTCAGTTGCTCTCCACTTTATTTATTGAGGCAGAGCCTCTCACTGAACCTGAAGCTTGCTAACTCTGGTTAGTCTAGCTAGGCAGCTTGCATAATGGAATCCCCTGTCTCCACCTCTCAAATGCTGGGATTACAAACAGCACACCTGCTTGGTTTTATGTGTTTTAGGGGGATCCAAACTCTAGTCCTCATGCTTATGCAGAAAGTCCTTTATCCACTGAGTCATCTCCCAGCCCAAATGTGGACTTTTCATCTGATTTATACTTATAAAAGTGAATTACCTCTGGCCAGGTGTTGTGGCACACACCTTGAATTTCAGCACTTGGGAGGCAGAGGCAGGTGGATCTCTGTGAGTTCAAGGCCAGTCTGACCTACATAGCAAGTTCCAGGCCAGCTGGGGCTACGGGGAGACCCTGTCTCAAAACAAACAAACAAACAAATAACTAAATAATCTCAACAAATACATTATAAATCTTTTCATACCAACTTAACTATATGCTTTCCAACATCATGAGATCTTTCATATCTGTGGGAAAGTTTACAACTTCATCATTTTCAACTATATTATTATTATTTTTTGGTCTTTTGAGGCAGGGTCTCCCTATAGCCCCAGTGTCCTGGAACTCGCTGTGTAGACCAGGATGGCCTTGAACTCAGAGATCCACCTGTGTCTGCCTCCCAAATGCTGGGAATAAAGGCGTGCACCACCACGCCCTGCATCAACTATATTATTTTGACCCAGTATCTGTTTAGAAAATTCTAATTCTGTTTTCTCTGAAATATTCTGGAGACTCCAAGGGTTATCAAAGAACTTTTTCAAATATGGCAGAGTATCAGAATTCTCTGTGTTCTCTAAGACTCTTTCCTTACCTGTTTGATCTTCTGTTTCCATCATTTTTATCATTTTTCTTTCTTGTTCTTTTTCAGGGTCAAATTCATTTGCTATAGGATGTTTATCTACTCCATCATCTTCTTCATTTTTTCCATCATAGGAAATAATTTTATCTTTATTGGCATATGCAAAGCCTAGCATGCCAAAACCAAAGTCCAACCAACTTGGACTGAGAATTGAACTGTCATTAATGGCTGTGTCTTCTTTTTCTGTTAGTATTTCTTCGAATGGAACCAGGGATTTTTCATCAGGTGAATTAGGAACATCTTGTAGTGATGGATTGCTTTCTTTGGTCGATAGCTCAAGTCCTGTATCCTCCTCTCCAAAGCCTAAATAACTTGCAAATCTACCACCAAACCAGCCAGTGGCTTGAGGTCTGAGAATGTCCTCTGACTCGAACACTAGTTCAGACTGTTTCTCTGGTTCTGAACTGAATTCTGGTAACTCTGAATCAAACTCTGATTCTAGATCTTGCTCAAGTTCTGTTTGGGGCCCATTATCATTTAATTTCTCTAGGTCGTTCTCATCTTCCATTGCTAGTTTTCTGCTTCGAAATGAGGTTCCTTGTACAGGCTCAGTAACTGTTCCCAGCACCTTCTCTGTAGATTCTTCTCCTCCCAGTCCAAACCATCCTTGCACTCCAGGTATACTTAGGGATGGAGAGATACGGTCCACCTCTGGAATATGATCCCGTCCCCCACTTCCTAGACCTACTTCCTCCCAGTCCTTTGACTCACTAGCACTTTTGATTTCCTTAGGAACCTCTGACACTGAAATCTGGTTTTCAAACAAAGTATTTTCAGAAGTTGCATAAAGGTCAGGTCCTACCTGGAAATCATTTATATATATATTAAATTGTTGGTCTTCATCTTCGTATGGGTACATATTTTCATCATTGTCATTTTTTAATTCACTGTCTTCACTTCCAAACATGAAGTCTTCTCCAAGAAGACAAAGAAAGTCAGATTCCTAAAAGGAAAAAAAAAAAAAAAGGTTGGCATAAATGTATTAAATATCCTCATCTTTCCCTGAACACTTTTACAGTAGATGATTACAGCCCAGGATGTGGTTTCACATCTGTAATCCCAGCACTTTGGAGGCTGAGGAGAATTGTGAATTCAAAACTAGCTGGGCTACATAGAAAGACCTTGTCTCAGCAGCTGAGAGTACTTGCTACTCTTTCAGAGGACCTGAAATGGAGTCCCAGCACCTATGTCTGGTGGCTTACCCACCACCTATAGCTACAGTTCCAGGACATCAACACGCCTCTTTTGGCCTCTGAGGACACATGTACACATGTAACATATACTCATAGAGACACGCATATACACATATTAGTTTTTAATCTTAATAAAAGACTTTGCCAGGCCTGGTGGCATACACCTTTAATCCCAGTACTCAGAAGGCACAAGCAGGCAGATCTCTGAGAGATCAAAGCTAGCCTGGTCTACATAGCAAGCTGTGGCTACAGGGAGACTCTGTTTCAAAAACACAAACAAAAGCAATTATCAATAAAAAATTAAAATTAAAGACATTATCTGAAAACTAAATAAAATACAACAGAACTAAAAAAAAAAGTAAAAGGATGACTATGATTTTCTTAAAACTATGTAACTACAAGCCAAGCATAGTGGCACATGGCCTTTAATCCCAGCACTCAGGAGGCAGAGGCAAGTGCATCTCTGTGAGTTCAAGGCCAGCCTGGTCTACATAGTGAGTTCCAGACCAGCCAGGACTACTGGGAGAC